AGGTGCGTTATAGCCAAAAATTGAAAACCAAATGAATAGCTGTTAAAATAGAATGCTTAAATAAGGATATAATGAGGTAGATCTATACATGTCGGATGTAGTAATGTAGGGAAACATCCACAAACATCATAAAGAGCAAGATAAAAAGCCACATCTACATTGCAATCCTATTTATGTAAATGAAATTATGTGAAAAAATTTCACACACATATATATGATAGATAAACACCTATATGCTTGCATGTATGTACAATATTTTCCTGAAAAGCTAGATACTTAATAGTGCTTCCCCAAACTGACACAAGTTGCTTTTGGGGAAAGGGAATAGGACTGATGTTTTCTTCTAAGTTTGTTAAGTGCCTAAATGAACGTTGTACCTTATGTTTTAAGGCTGTTGCAACTTCTGTAACAGAGATAGAGAAGGAGAGAAAAAGATAATTAAGTTATGGGTCAGTTTATCCATACAAAACTTTCAAAGAGAATTTTATTTAACCCAAACTGAAACTGTGGTAAAAATAATATGAAATTTCAAGTAGGGATTTTTCCCAGGAAGTAAAGGATAATTGAACATGACAAAAACTACCAGTACAAACAATCACATTAATGATATAAAAGAAAAGAATAAAGTGATTATCTCAATAGATGCAGAGATAATAAATGATAAAGATTAGCCTCGATTTATATTAACAAATGGAAACTTCATAAATAATAGTATTTTTTTATCATGTTAATCACCATACATCATTAGTTTTTGATGTAGTGTTCCATGATTCATTGTTTGCATATAACACCCAGTGCTCCATTCAGTACATGCCCTCTTTAATACCATCACCAGGCTAACCCAACCCCCCACACCCCTCCCCTCTAGAACACTCAGTTTGTTTCTCAGAGTCCATAATCTCTCATGGTTCATCTCTGCCTCCGATTTCCCCCCCTTCATTTTTACCCCGATGTTTATAGCAGCAATGTCCACAATAGCCAAACTATGGAAAGAGCCAAGATGTCCATCGACAGATGAATGGATAAAGAAGATGTGGTATATATATAGAATGGAATAGTATGCAGCCATCAAAAGGGGAAAAATAATAGTATTCTAAGAGAACAAAAATCTTTGTGGAAAGCACCAAGTTATGCATTAATAACAGACTACTACTGAGAAGCCAAGCACAGAAAACTAAATTTATATAGAGCTAAACAGACAAGCATGAAAGAGACTTATTCCATAAGACCTTTTATTTGAAAATGACACATAGAAACAAAATCAATACAGACAGTCCCCAACTTATGAAAGTTTGACTTACGATTTTTTGACTTTATGATGGTGTGAAAGCAATATATATTCACTAGAAAGTTACTTCAAATTGTGAATTTGGTTCTTTCCCCAGACTAGTGACATGCAGTACAATCCTCCCTAATTATACTGGGCAAGAGGCAGGGAGCCATGCCTCCCAGGTAACTACAACATCACAGGGGTAAACAACCAGTACGCTTACAGTCATTCTGTACCCATACAGAATTCCATTTTTTCACTGTGGGTACAGTATTCAATAGATTACATGAGATATCCAACACTTTATTATAAAATAGGCTTCATGTTAGACGGTGTTACCCTGCTGTTTGCTAATGTAAGTGTTCTGAGCACATTCAAGATAGGGCAGGCTAAGTCAGGATGTCTGGCAGGTGAGTGTATTAAATGCATTTTTGACTTATGATATTTTTAACCCATGTTGGGTTTATCAGGATATAACCCTATTGTAAGTCAAGGAAGATCTGTATCTCTTTCTCAAGGCCATGTACATATATTTGTATGCCGAGTATGGAAAGGACATAAAGCAAATATATTACAGAGGGTCCAATGGGAGAAAGGAGAATAAACTGAGAACATGGGTTGAAGGAAGCAAAAAAGAAAATAAAATAAAACAAAAAAGGAACTTTGCCTTGACTAATGTCATGAATTGACAAGTATGATCAAAGAAATTCTCTACATTATTTCACAATAAATAAGTAAGGTAAAAACGTAGCATATATCCTGTAAACAGCATAGACCTACAACATAAACTGTGAAAGCTTTTTGTTTTTGGACTAGGTTTGGTTTGGACTTTGTTTTTGGACAAGTCTGCAACATAAGGACATGGCTCAGGGACCATGCAGAGAGTCCTACATTTTTGGGGTTTTGTTTGTTTAGCACTTACCACTTCTAAGACATCAGGAAAATCACTTAGACACACACTCCATCTTAGATTTCTTAATCTGAAAAATAAGACAGTATTGACCTCTCTGGGTTTTGCACAGAATCAATGAGATAATACATGACTGGGGATTAGCACGAATGCCCATCACATGCTAAGTGTTTTAACTAATATTTGTTCTCCTGCCTCCAACCCCATCACCCTTCCAGTAATTCCATAGTTAATATGCTTTCAGATGGAAAGGAATTCATAGAAAAGCCTGCAAGTACTTCTATATATTGATATTCCCGTTATACTCTCTGAATTTTTCAGAAAATCTCCCCTTCTCCAGTCCCCAGCTCTAAATTACAGAACATGTGATAAAGCTACTTATGATGGCTAAGAGGGCCAATCAAAAATGGGTAAAAGCACTATGGTGAGCACTGTGAATTGTACAAGACTGATGAATCACGGATCTGTACTTCTGAAACAAATAATGCAATATATGTTAAGAAAAAAAAAGAAGAAGAAGAAGATAGCAGGAGGGGAAGAATGAAGGGGAGTAAGTCGGAGGGGGAGATGAACCATTAGAGACGATGGACTCTGAAAAACAAACTGAGGGTTCTGGGGGAGGTGGGGGGATGGGTTAGCCTGGTGATGGGTATTAAAGAGGGCACATTCTGCGTGGAGCACTGGGTGTTATGCACAAACAATGAATCATGGAACACTGCATCAAAAACTAATGATGTAATGTATGGTGGTTAACATAACAATAAAAAATTATTAAAAAAATGGGTAAAAGCAGAAATATTATATGAAGAATTGCACATTAACTTATTCAGTCTGCATAACCTTTGTAAGTAATGTTTGATGAAAGTATTAGTTCTGTCGTAAAAAAAGACTAATACATGTTGATGGAACTTCATTTAGCTATGCAGGCTTAGCAAGTATATTATCATCTATATATTTTTTATAATTAACGATGGTGCTGCTGTTTTCTTCCATAATTGGTGCATTTATTGAGAGATTTCCCACTGTTTGACTAATGCGTTTCATCCTCTATACTTTTTCCCTGCTGTTTCCCCACAGTTATGACTCTCAAAATTTATAGAGTTTAGATTCCTCTTGCTGCTGTTTACATTCCTACTTACTGTTTATTCATAGGATCAAGACAGAGAGTTCTATGTTGGAGTGAGCTTTTATACAGATGATTAGCAATGGGGCTCTGAGAACAAACACTTATTTTTTCGTACCATTAATGGATTCAAAAACAAGGTATACATAATACTGCCTAACACCGCAAATGGATCTCCTTTATGTGAGCTGTTGACTGCCTGATAGCAGTTGAAGAAATGTTTCATCAGAAGGCAGTTCAAGGTTTATGAATCTGGAGTCATGTGCAGTGTTATTTACATTCCACTTTTGCAACTCTGGTGGGTATTGTGGATTTAGAAAATGCAAGGTAGAACAGACCTACATTCTCCTTTTTTTAAATCACTGCCAAGACTAAGTGAAAATGAAGATTTGACAAGGCTGGATTACCATTACAGCCCTTACATGGTACCCAGTGTGCCTTAGGAAACAGAAGTGTTATGCAAACAGTTGTCATGAATTTATTTTCTTTTTTAATGCCTGATGGGAAAATGTGCTGTGCAGCTAAAGAAGTGCAGTGGGAATAATGATCATTCAAGAAATCTTCAAAATGAGCTACTAAAAGCACACTGTCTATTTTGAGAGTTAGTATGTCCTTTTGACAAGAAATATCATTAAAGCATAGTGATGTTAGTAACTGAGGGGTTTTTAAATCCTTTTCCTTTAAAGCCTAGCCAAAAAAAAAAAAAAAAAAAAATTATTGAATCTCTGTGTGGAAGATCATCAGGTCCTTTCACAATGTTTTACTCCGAACAGTTCATTATCATTCCACCTGAGGGAAGGCAGGAAGGATAAAGCTGGGTTTAATTCACCATTCCCCTTTTGCTTTGTTAGATCTGATGAACAGCTTGTGTTTTCTGGTTGGTTGGTTGGTTTTATTTTTCTTCTCTCACTCCTTAGATTTGTACCTATGTCTTAACTGTAAAGTTGTAAGCACAGATCAGTGTAGGATTATTTGAAATGACCTAAGTTCCTTGCTTTTATAACAGTGATGCTTTATTTTTATTTTTGTTTCCCATTGTTTTAAAGTCCTTGTTGCACCCTTTTGCCAGTTATATAGGTAACAGGGTATGACAAAAAAAAAGTCCTGTTTATTTTATAATCCAGTACTATTTGGGGTAGAAGGACCCTAGACGCTAGTCAAAATCATGTATTTTACAAATGAGGAATCAGAACCCCAAAGAAGGGGAAGACTTAGCTAGGGGACTACAGCTGTTGAGAGGCAGGTTGAAGTCCAGAATCCGGATCAGGTGACTTGCTGACGACTTATTTTTCCTCTACATCAATCACCTTTGTTTTATTCCCAACTTGTATAATGACATTTGAGCAGATCCTAACAGCAAACCCTTTGTGTGGACTTTGCAAACTTGCTGGTTGATGCATCCAAGTGTTAGTGCATATGACAATATAATTTATCCTGAGACTGCACAGATGATATCCTGTGAATATGGCTTGATGTCGCCACAAAATCATCCCTAAAAGGATTATAGCTGTTTGTCGATCTACAACTTCCATAGTGTTTCTTTGAAATATACCTGAAAATGTCAGTCTCACTGTTAAAGACAAATGCCAGATTGAGTAACACAGTTATAATTGCTAATTATAATACAATGTGATCCTTTTTATTCTCTCTCTCTCTCACCACTGTGCTTATCTATATATCCTGTTTTGCTATTTTAGGTTTGTGTGCTGGAGAGGCAAATATTTGACTTCCTTGGATATCAGTGGGCACCTATCCTGGCAAATTTTGTACATATTATTATCGTCATTCTTGGTTTATTTGGAACTATTCAATATAGACCTCGTTACATAACAGGAGTAAGTACCCTTCCTGCTTCTTTAAAAAAAAAAAAAGTGAAATAAAGATGCAAACTACAAATGTCTTGAACATTTATATGTATATCTCTCCATAAAGTACTATTAGGTTGTTTTCCTAGTTTCAGATTACATCTACAGTAATTGAAAATGTCAAGTTTAAAACACTTGACAGTGAATGTAATCAGATTGTTTTCATAAATTATACTTTCAGCGACTATTCTATTGTAATTAGAAACAGAACTATGCCCCTATATTTCCAAACTATAAGATTGTGTCCTTTGATTTAACAGATTTTGATGGGAATTTCCCCATTTTAAATAATCATATTTTATGAATTGAATATAGTTTGAAATCGTATTATACAAATGAATATATAGCTTTGATGTCAAAATATGTATATATATTGGAGTTAATGTTTGATACATTTGAAAGCCAGAAAAGTCTGGACCATAGTCTGTATATTTTCTGTAATTCTCTTTTTGGTTCAGAGGAAGTATTTTGCATCTCCACTCAAGTTAAACTTACTTAAACATAAAAGTGAAATCCAACTGTGTTGCAGTTGCTATGGGAACCATAACTTAGAATTTTTTACTTTTGTATGTGCCTCAGATCTCAGCTATAGCGCTTCATTAATGTAGATTTTTTTTTAGTTTCATCATTTTTCCTCTTCTATTTTTGACAAAGGAAAAGTCTATAAGCATTTTTTTTAATTATAAAGCAATTTTGTGGTAAAGGAATATATATAAGCTAGTACAGCTAAAGCTCTGCCTTATTCAACACAAACCAGCAAGGCTTCTCAGGTTTCACCAAGGCCTCCTTCACATAAAAGATGCCCTCTCCTGACCTGTTGTCTCAGTCATCTGGAACCTAGATAAAGCTCACTGGGCCTGAAACAGACGATGTTGTGACAGCTGGACCAAGGGATCCACTGTCTGGCTAAGGATGAGTGAGAAACCCATAGCTTTCTTCTCTGGATGCATGCCCAGAAATGAATGCATGTTCCCTCTCAGGGTATATAGCCATGTAAATCATATAAAAAGCACGATGTGTTTTGTTGCAGGGTGAAGTTTTTCAATACACAAGATATGATAGTACCATTCACTTTCTTATATAAATTATAACATGATCCAATATAGGGAAGTGATTGGGAGTGGGTCTTCTGAAGTCATAATACCAGGATTGAAATCTTGTATCTGCCATTTTTTTTTTTTATTTTTAGACAAGCATGACCTCACCAATTTTTAGTTTTCCTACTTTTAAAATACGAGAATAATTATATTAACTCATAAGCTTCAATTAATTAATTATAAGCCATTATATAAGAGATCCTTTTTTTAAAAAAAGATTTTATTTATTTATTTGACACAGAGAGACACAGTGAGAGAGGGAACACAAGCAGGGGTGTGGAGAAAGGGAGAAGCAGGCTTCCCGCAGAACGGGGAACCCGATGCAGGGCTCAATGCGGGGCTCGATGCAGGGCTCGATCCCAGGACCTGGGATCATGACCTGAGCCAAAGGCAGACGCTTAACAACTGAGCCACCCATGTGCCCCTATATGAAAGATTCTTAATTTAACTGTTCTCTTTCATTAGACTTTGAGGTTCTTCCATGATTTTATTTGTATAGATAATGTTGCTATGAGTATAATCTTATAAATATGTCATCTCCATTTCTGATAAAGTTCTTGGAATAAAAATCTAGATGTGGATAAAAATGTTTGAATAGTTTAAAACCTCAGAGGTTTGGAGGGATAAATGAATATCCTGTAAAATGTCAGCACAATGCTTGGTATTTAAAAAGTGGTCAATAAAAGTTAGCTATAATATTTTTCTCCTGATTGTTATTATTATGTGAAATGATACTAAATTGTATAGACTAGTGATAGGCTGGCAAGCAATTGAAAATAGACCCAGGGGTTCTAAGCTGTTGGTTGAACATTTTTCTCCCTTTTATTCCAGGCTGTTACAACTCTTTAAATGATTTTGTAGGATTTCTATGTATAAAATTATAATCCCATCCCTTTAGATAAAATACATACCCACAGATCTTTTCAAGACAGGCTGTTTCACTCTAGCATTAGCTGAGAATTAAAATGCCATGGGACACCTTTAAGATTGTTAGATATTTTATATAACTAAGAGAGTCTCTGAAATCTTTCAGAGGTCTTAGCAATGGGTCTTAGAGCTACATCTTTGATTTGATCTCGACTTGCAAACAGCATTCTGAATTTGATCTTTTCCTTGAGACAGTGTCTTACTTGGAAAACCTCTTGCCAGCTGAAGATGCTGTAAATGTGAAACCTTTATTTTCCAACTCTGCAAGTCCTGAGTTGGAAATAAATTCTCTAAATTCTGCTTAAAACCTGAATTGTTCTCTCTTTTGCTCATCTCTCTCTTACAATTATATTATGTGTGGCTAAAAGGTGACAACACTGTCAGGTGTTTGCTTGGAAATCCCCTTAGCCAGATCCACAAGTTGAGAGGTATATTTTCTCTTTTCCTAGTATTGCAGCCAATAGTCAAGCTCATTGTTCTGATAGTAATTTATTGTGAATCCTTTTTTTTCCCCAGTCCTCAAAAATGACTTCCTTACTGTCCTTCCTTTCTTTAGTGAGAGTCTCCTCATTGCCCTTATAGCCTCCACCTGTTACCTTTTCTCAAAACGAATGCTGTGTTTTAGGTTTATGTTATAGTATCATTTCAATTTGGGTACCGATTTCTGGTCTAGGTACTTATTTCTGTGTATTTTCTGTATAACAAACTTCTGAATAATCAAATTAATGGAATCTAATGTCCATGATGCTGTGTTAAAGGTCAAAGGTTGATTCAGGAAAATAGAGAATTTGCCATAAAAATGGATTAAGATTTTTAATTTGCCTAAAGACAACAAAAGGAATTACAATGAAAAGAAATTTGAATGGAATCATAGATGCCAGAAATTGTGATCATTGAAGAATCTGTGTTTAGCGGAAAAATGCGTAATGGGGCAAGCGGTAACTAACAGTAATGTATTGTTGCTCTTAAGTAATTTCCAAGGGCTCCCTGTGCACTGGAGACTCAGATATGAACAGTGAAATTTATTTTTCTCTCCCCTAGCTATGTAGGCCTTTATTATTTATTTGCCATTTTATATTTTTGCATTCAGTTTAGAAATAGAAGTAAACTCATAATTTCACAACTGAGAGTTACTGTTAATATTTCTGCATATTTCCTTCATGTGTGTGCAAATGAAACATATCAGACTCTGTCACGTCTCAAATAGGTCTTCATCTCTTTCACAGTTTTAAATTCATATAGATATCCATTTAACCTTTTACACTATTGTTTATCATACTATATAATAATATATAACATATATTATGGGATGTTATATATTGTATATTATGTGATTTCCTTGTTTCCATGATAAATAATCCATATAATCATCTCCATAAAAATACTCTCATATTTATTTGTGATTTCAGCCCTTAGAAGAAATATCTCAGTATAATTAAATAATATGAACATTTTTAAGGTTCTTGGTATATAATTGGCAATTACCTATCCAAAATTATTTTACTGAATTATCCTCCCACAAATGTACAGCAGAGTCTATTTTACTGCCCTCTTGCTGACCCTGAATATTATCTGTTCTCACATTTGTCAATCTGATAGGAGAAAAAATGTCATTTTTGTTTTGAATTGTATTTCTTATCTTGATGGAGTTGGACTTTTTCATATGTTCATTAACTATTTTCCATTTGTATATCTCTTTGGGGGGGATTGTCTTTTGGTTTGGATTTACCTTTGCTCAGTTTTTCTATGGAGTCTTAGTGTTTATCGTAACAGTTTTTATATATCTATCGTATAGTAAAGATATTTATCCTTTAAGTATCATCAGTTTTTATTTTGATGTTTATTATTTGTCTCTTGTTAAAATAAATTCCCTGTCCCTTTGTGGTATCTTCTATTGCTTTACAAATTATAAAATTTAGGGGTGCCTGGGTGGCTCAGTCGGTTAAGTGTCCGACTCTTGATTTCTGCTCAGGTCATGATCTCATGGGGCTCAAACGCCGTGTCAGTCTCCATGCTCAGTGGGGAGTCTGCTTGAGATTCTCCCTCTCCCTCTGCCCCTCCCACACACACTCTCTCTCCCTCTCTGTCTCTAAAATAAATAAATGAATGTTTTTTTTAATTATAACATTTAAATACCATTTTTGAAAAGTAACAATAAGTCTTCATTGAGTTTTGTTTCCTTTACTAATCTTTTCTCCCCTGAGAGTGAAGAAGAAATATTTAAAAATTTAAAACAAGGTAACTGGAAAAAGAACTCAATAGTACCCTTTGAGGGTGTCTGGCATTTCAAGGAATATAATATGTTGAAGGAAAATGAAATAGATAATTTCAATTCTAAGCAAAGGAAATCTGAAGCCAGAATCCATAGAAAGCCTGTGTATTATATAATTCTTGACAACATCAAATCTCCCCAAAAAGGCCCGGTTAACTCTGGCAGAATAATTTATAAATGAATACATATGAATTGCTGCCGTGAAAGCATTTCCTCATGTCATAAGTGGAATTGTCCAGAATATCTTCGTTTGGACTAAAGATAGTGGCAAGCAGGATGTGATTGAGGATATTCAGTTTACTAATGACCAAAAAATGTTAATAAGTTGCACTGCTCTAAGTTGTCTAAAGTAATTTGAGGCATGTGTAAGTTCCTAACTGCTAAAGGCACAGCAATTTTCTTGGTGACATTACCAGAAGATGTGTTGCTGTAATGGCCAAAAAGATTTCTTTCTTCTTCCTTCTTTTCTACCTTCTTTCCTACCTTTTTTCCTATCTTCCTTGCATCCTTTCTCCTTTCCTCTGTTACTCTCCCCCTCCACTGTTTCTTTCTATTTAAGTTATTTTGACAGAAAATATAATACCTTACTTAGCTTGGACCCACTGGTTTAATCAAGGAAACCCAGTCCTGAAACTAGAAATAAATTTAAAGTAGCTAAAAATCCACTACTCCGA